ATCAATCGCCAGAAATAGCAAAAATTTTTAGTTTGGAAATTTTTTTTTTTTTTTTTTTTTTTTCTTTTTCACTATGTAGTTCAGGCTGACCTGGAACTCACTGTGTAGCCCAGGCTGATCTCAAACTCATAGTGATCCTGCCACCTCAGCCTCCTGAGTGCTGGGATTATAGGCATGCGCCCACCATACCTGGCTTAGAAATATTTCTATACTTAGTTACTGTAAAAAAATTTTTATCTTGCTGGGAATTTAGCTCAGCGGTTTGGTGTCCTGCCTTGCAAATGCAAGGACCCGAGTTCAATCCCTGGTACCAAAAAACAAAAACAAAAAATTTATATCTTAAACTAGTATTTAAATGTTTTCTGAAATTTTCACACCTTATTTTGTAAATCACATTGAAATTTCGTCTTACATTGTGATTGAACATAACTTGTTTTTACTTTTTGGCAGCATGTGAATCCGAAGAAGCAAACAATAGGTAATTCTTGTAAAGCCTGTGGCTATCGAGGCATGCTTGACACACATCATAAACTCTGCACGTTCATTCTCAAAAACCCACCTGGTAAGTGTTCTTAATGAACTCCCCAGCTCTTAACATAAAGTGACTAGTTGTAAACAAAGGTAGATTTCTGTTACAGTCAGAGTATGAGGAAGTTAAGGTCCTTCTCCAGTTTCATTGGCCTGAAGACTTAGGGGCCTTGTCTCAAGCAAAGTTGCCTTTAGAGAATTGCAAGCAACACTCTGTGACAGATTATCAAAATAGTCTGGCACAATTTGAGCTTGCTACAGCAAGAAAGTCTAACCTATTCCGGCACTCTCTTTGCTGTGAGACAGGCCGTTATATAGACTTAAACATTGTTAACTACTGGGTGAGCAAGATAAATCCTTCTACCCAACAGAGAAGACCCCTGGTATTCTATGTCACATCGTTCTTTGCCTGTGTTGTTTGTTCCCTGTAAAATGCTTAGGGGGTGGATTTGATCTGAGAAGCTACTCACAATTACCATTTTGTTTAGATTTTTTGAGGGAATTACAGGCAGGGTTTTAAAATGTTTTGATAGTGATAATGGCTATGAGAATAAATTTCTATTTCTTTGCAGAGAATAGTGACAGTGGTACAGGAAAGAAAGAAAAGGAAAAGAAAAATAGGAAGGGCAAAGACAAGGAAAATGGCTCTGTATCCAGCAGTGAGACACCACCCCCACCACCCCCAAATGAAATCAGTCCTCCTCCACATGCTGTGGAAGAGGAGGAAGATGAAGACTGGGGAGAAGATACAACTGAGGAAGCTCAGAGGCGCAGAATGGATGAAATTAGTGACCATGCAAAAGTCCTGACACTCAGTGATGATTTGGAAAGAACCGTAGAAGAGCGTGTGAATATCCTGTTTGATTTTGTTAAGGTATAAAATTTATGTAATACAGGGCTAGGGATTTCGCTCAGTGGTGCCACTGCCTGCCTCACGAGTGCAAGGTCCTGAGTTCAATCCCTGGTACCAAAAAAAGTTAGTTTTACTTAACCCACAATGAGCTTTGAGCTGTCCTTTGGTTTTTTAGATATTTATTACTTTTTCATGAGGGTAATTACTAAGTAACTATCACTGGTATCTCGAATACTCTACTGTAAGGCTTATTTTCACTTTTTTCAAGAAATGTTTTTGGAGGGAAGGTTTCAGATACTTTCATTAAAAATTGTGTATCATTTAGAAGTTAAATAAGGTAGGGAAAATGTCTGGGAGAGCAGGTATATGTAGCCTAGTGAGATAAGCTTGCTCTTTTCACTGAATTATTTGCCTTTTGTTTACAGAAAAAGAAAGAAGAGGGCATTATTGATTCATCTGACAAAGAAATTGTTGCTGAAGCAGAAAGACTAGATGTAAAAGCCATGGGTCCTCTTGTTCTGACTGAAGTTCTTTTTAATGAGAAGATTAGAGAACAAATTAAGAAATACAGGCGCCATTTCCTCCGAGTAAGCAAGCTGTTTTAGAGCCATAAGTGAGATTATAGCTGTGTGGCTCAGGACCTGCTTTAATTGCTTTCGTTGTTTGCCATCATAAATTGACACCTGTGCACATCTATATATACTGCACCATGGGCTTTTAAATAAAGTGGTGTAAAGATCTCTGTTTTGACTTTTTTAATGTGACTGGTGAGTGAACCCAGAGCCTTGGCCTTCAGCTGCATTCTTGGTCCTGAGATTTGGAGATAGGGTCTCAGCAAGTTGCTGAGTTGTGCACGCTGGGCTCAGACTTGCATTATTCCTGCCTCGGTGTCCCAGGGTGCTGGGGTTACAGGTGTGTGTGGCCACACTCTCCCAGCTGCATATTGACCTTGTTGAACCATTATTGAATAAGGTCGTACCTTAACAAACTTTGTGGTGCTGGGCATGGAACTCGGGGTCTCTCACATGTGGGGCAAATGTACTTGACAGCCACATATCCCACAAAAAATAGTTTTAAAGGAGTACTTAGTTACTTAAATTGCCAACTTGTAGAACATGTGAAAAAGCAAGTCCCAAATATCTATTTGCAGTTCTGTCACAACAACAAAAAAGCTCAGCGGTATCTTCTTCATGGTCTGGAGTGTGTGGTGGCGATGCATCAAGCACAGCTCCTCTCTAAGATTCCGCATATCTTGAAGGAGATGTACGATGCAGACCTTTTGGAAGAGGAAGTCATCATCAGCTGGTCGGAAAAGGTAGGGGGCACTAAGGACCCTTCAGGGTCAGAAGTATTGAAACAGATTGGGGGAAAGGTTCGTATGAAGTGACTTTGCACACTTAAAATCTCCCCTAAAAAGCATACTCTTTTTAGGCCTCTAAGAAGTATGTTTCAAAAGAACTTGCCAAAGAGATTCGTGTCAAAGCGGAGCCATTTATAAAATGGTTGAAGGAGGCAGAGGAAGAATCCTCTGGTGGTGAAGAAGATGATGAAGATGAGAACATTGAGGTAAATGCTGAGGAAGGTGCTAAGTACACTACCAGTAGCCATGAGTGCTTGAGATTACAGTTTGGGAGCAGTAACAAAATGGCAATTCGGAGTAATTCCAAATTCAAGGTTCAAGTTGGAATGAAATACAGCCTCAGTAATTTGTAAATTACTCCCAGTATACCACTAAACTTGACATACCAGAAGTACCAAAGCTGTGCTATAACCTCAGCACTCTGGGAGGCTAAAGTGAAGAGTACAAGTTGGAGATTGCAAATTTGAGCCCAGCATGAACAAATAAACCCTGTTGCTTTTTTTTTTTTTTAGTACTGGGGATCGAACTAAAATATGAAGACCTTGTCCATTAACTTGAGTTTTTCATAATGATAACCACTGGGTATGGTAGTGCATGTCTATTAATCTCAGCACTCAGGAAGCTGAGGCAGGAGAATTGCTGTGAGTTCAAAGCCTGGGCTACATAATGAGTTGAAGGCCAGGTTAAATTAATAATGAGACCCTGTCTCAAACATAGTAATAACCCACGCCCAGGCTGTGGCCCCTTTTTTAACAGTTTCATTACCTTGTACTGTATGGCTTACAGAACCACTATGTAGGCTTTGCAAGATTATAAATACAGTTATACAAGATTATAAATACAACCTTAGACTAGTTTTAGAATTTATAGCTTTCACGAATAACATGTTTATTACTTCCAAAGAAAAATGCTGACAGAGCCTAAGTTGAACATTTGGATTTATGTTTTCTTTATATGCAGATTTTTGTGGGCAGAGGTATTATGAAATCATTTCTCTTACCAGGTGGTTTATTCGAAGACTGCCAGTGTACCGAAAGTTGAAACTGTGAAGTCTGAAAACAAGGATGACGACATTGATATCGATGCCATTTAAAAGGAAGGATGCGACCTAGCTAACAGTGTAATGCTACAAATTGTTCTCCATTATCAGCCAGAAGTGCAACATGTATGTGCAGAAGCTAAAATGGCTTAACATCGTGCTACACTTTATACTAAAATCTACTGTGAGTGGTCTGTAATTAAGCCCAGTGAGACATCTAGGGAGTCCATACACATCAATGAGCAGATGTAGTTTGCTTATTTATAGCATGTTTCTTTTGGAAAACCTAGTGGTGGACGTATTTGGATCACATTTATACAGTAAAAAAATAAAGATTTGATTTTGGTCATTTCTTCAGATTTTGGGCTCTGAATGACACTAAATAATTGGCCCCTGTTTAAAATGTTGCACCATCCTTTATCCGGTTGGGTTCTTGGAGCCTGGTAGGTTCTGCTAAGTGCTGAGATGTAAGCACAGACTAACTTGGAATTACTTTATTCAGCCTTTTAGAGCACTTTCATGTTTGATTTCTAGTCCCTCGAGTTGGCATACAGTAATTCTGGGATAGACTGGTAACCAGATGATAGTTAAACATCTTAATTAAAAAGTAAATGACCTGCGTGTCCTTTAAGTAATTTTTAAGAGCAAATTTTGAAATTTAGGATGGTGATTTTTCACTTCATGTACACTTGCCCCAGTTGTAGTCTTCAGTGTGCATTGCACGTTGGGATGAGCCAGGGAAATTATAAATTTGCAGACAAGTGTTCTATTTGTACGTAGTGGTTTTACTGAAAAAATTCAGACTTTAGTTGTGATTAAATAAAACGATTTTTGTTTGGGAGAAACAGGTGCACTTAATCTAGTAAAAGCTGAGCATAGTTTTTCAGCTTTTATTCTTAAGATTTAAATTATATTTCAAAATATTCAAATATACTGTATCCTGTGTTGTGTGTCCCCCCTCCCTTGGTGGTATTAAGGTTTATTCTTTAATGCCTTTTACTTCTGAACACAGCTTAGGCATTTTATATTTGGTTGCTATTTTGCCAAAATGTGTTACTTTGTGTTAAGGTTGACCCCCCCCATGTCTTAATTAAAGAGAAATGAAATTTAAAGCATACTTGTAAGGCGGCAGAGCCTATATTTTGGTGTAAGAGGTTTAGGGTGTTCACTTCACATTAAATACAGCCAGGCCCCTGAGAAGTCTGGACGGTGGCTATGGAATGCAGGCAATGGCCATAGCCACCTGAATTCCTTGCTTCCCGTTAGCTGATGAAGGCCTATTTGATGGGGGTCTGGACCAGGTTTGAGTAATCCTTTAAGAAACAGTCGCATTTGTTCCTTCCCACAGAGTGAACCCTGGAAATCTAGTATGTGTGGTTAATTCTGTGTGGAGCACTGGCTCACATTATTCGCCTGTTACTTTGTGATCCATCTCACAGATCTTAATAACAAATGTGTATGTAAATGTTTTTCACATTGAAATTATATAGATATTTGATAAAAATAAAGCCTTGTTAGCTTGCTATTTTAAGGGATTGGCACTTAGTGATCTTGGTGGAGGGAATTGTTCCTTGACACATTCCAGAAGTGGGGCAGGGGCTGTTTGCTTCAGGTAATGTGTCCGCCGGGAGGAGGTGCTCTTGCAGGCACACATCATGCCACCTTTGCTGCAGGGCCCTGTGTGCCAGGCTGTTGAGGGTCTTTTCCACTTGAGGGAAATGTGTTTGGTGCTTCAAAACACTTGATGGCTTGGGGCTCACACCTTCTGCAGTCTGGGGCCAAACTTCAATGGAATTGGAAATAGCCCTGATTCTATTTATAGCTTATAATGAATAATCCTTTACTTTGCTCTAATGGGTTGTCTTAAATTATTTTCCTGTCTAAAACAGCTACATTACTTGATTAAAATACTTAAAATTCTATGTGGTCTCTGCGTTAATAGTAAACTTTTAAGGTTTTTGTTTTATAGTGAAATCAAGAGCGGTCCCTTTTGGAGCTGCTGCTGACTGTATTGGATGCTGCTCCTGTGTGGTTCTTTGTTAGCCCTGTGCACAAACTTCATTACAGTGGGTCACTGGCTTCCTTAGGCAGGCCTTGGTTTTGGCTGTAGCACAAGGTGGTTGAACTGGTAGTCTGTTTGATTAACCGTTTCTTGGAAAGAATTTGAGCTGATGTCCCACAAACAGCCAGGTTGCCCTCAAACTTTTGCTAGTCTTCCTGCCTCAGCCTCTGTAGTGCTAGGTTTGCAGGTATATCCCACACCAGTACCTGGCTTTGGCTGAAATTTTAACAGACCTCAGTCAGAGTGGTATGGGATACAAACAACACAGGTGTCACAAAGAAGGGAACAGGTTCTTTTCAAGTTGACATGCAAGTGGTACCAGCTTGGTCCTCAAGTGGGCAGGAGGTGTTGAGTGAGTGCATGCTTTGTCGTGACGGGGAAACGGTTGGGGCCTAAAGCCACCCTCTCCCCAAGTATCTTTCTGGGTCAAGTTAAAGCCTGTTTTCCATTCTGTCTGTCCTCTGGTCCTGGGGTACAGAATTATTGTTTCAAGGTTAGTTGTCTGTGCCAATCACACTATTTTAAGTTGTAACTGCAGACAGTCCCGGTAAAGATGCTTTTTTACAACTTCATTTGCCTGCATTCTGTAACAACGCTGGAGTGTGACACCACCAGTCCTGCATTGTCAGTCTGAAAGACCAGCCTTTGCCTCCTTCAGTCCCAGAGGCGTCACTGCTAGGAGCAGTGCTGTGCTCTCGTCTCCCTTGTTTGCGGTGTGCCCTGTGCTGCTTCCTTGCTCTGAGGGACAGTCATGAAGTGGAGTGATGTGGGCAAATGCTGGGCTTCTGGTCATTGTGTCTAAGTGGAGCAGCACTGTTAAAGTCCCTGAGTTACAGAAGACCTTTTCAGCATGGTGCCCAGAATTATGGCCAAAAGCAGAACAGCTTTGTGCTGAGTGATGGCATGGTGGCCACAGGAGTTGCTGTGGCTAGACTGGCAGGGCCAGCCACAGGTTACTCAGCAAAGTTGGGCGTGAGCTCAGACAGTTTGGTATCTGACCCTGTGTACTAGGTGGATCCTGACTCCTCCCTGCTGCATGGGCTGCCCACCAGGACTCTGGCTGGACAGTGGAGGGGGTTTGGGTCTGGGTCTGGGACCTGCAGACTGCAGAGCAGCTCAAAGGCCGGGGCTAGTGGCAGCAAAGGTGGTGCTGCATAGTCTTGGCCTCAAGTGGCCCCTGATGACCCAGAGGTGGTTGCCATCGAAGTTTGGTGTGCTGTGATGCCAATGAGCCAGTTCGGTGGTGTGGGCAGGTGACAGCTGCCTGTAGGGGCAGCCTGAGCCAGCACAGTCTGCTGACCACCTAGGTCCAGTTGGCACTGTGAGCTGAGAGGCTCCCATCTCCTCTGCAGAGGGCAGCCAGGGGCTGCTGTAGGAGATGGGCCCAGAAGGGCTTCCTGGACAGGACGGAGGAGGAGTGTGCAAGAGGCACTACAGAAGGAGCCCACTGGAGCGCATAGCTGGTGGCGCAGGGACCAGGTTCCATAGGTTTCCTATGGGAGACATCTGGTAAGACATGGCTGGAGGACAGACCTGGCCAAAGCAGCACTTCCCACAGGGCCTTGGAGGGGGCATGCACAGTGATGCGGGGAGGGGTACGTGGAGCAGGCTGCAGAGGCCTTGAGTGATGAAGCTGAGCGAAGTGACCATCGGGCAGGAGCAACTTGAAAGGGGCAGGGTGCCATCCACACAGCATTCCGGGGTCCCATGCGGGTAGGAGTTTGCCTGGCGCTCCTTGCAGTTGCTGTCTTTTATTCTAGGCCTTGTGTCCCAGCCTGTGGTGATGCTGGATTGTGAGGGCTCGGGCAAGGGGCTGGTGGAGGAAGTTAGGCTGTGTGCAAGGAGGAAGCAGGCCCAGCCCTGGCTCCTGTGGTGGTTTCTGGTCTGCCAGACCCAGGCTCAAAAATGACAGACAAGCGACCATTGGCTGAAATCTCAAGCTAAGGCAAGATTTTTCTCTTTGAAGTGCATTGTCTCTCGTATTTTGTCACAGCAACACAAAACTGACCAGCGCACTGGGAGAAAGAAGTGTGGGAGGGCAGGTCTACAAGGAGCTGTTCCCAGGATGGGTGTAGGGTGAGGCTGGGAGGTGGCAGGCCCTGATGGGCAAGCTCCAGGCACTGGGGGGAGCTGCTGAGAGAGGGAGGGAGGAAGAATGGAGGGGCCCGTGTGGCTGGCACGGCTGTGGCATGGAGGGGTGCTGGCCAGGCTCTGAGTGTGCCTTTGAGCTTGGGCAGGTTGGGTCCCCAGGTGGCTGTGGCCCTGCTGAGGCTTGTGTCTCCAACAGAGGCGCAGGCCAGCCCAGCCCCAGCAGCTGTATAGCCTCCCCATCCTCCCTAAAAGCTGGCACCCACGAGGAGACCCTCAGAGTTTCAGGGTCTGAGGGGCACAGCTTTCCTGTGTGACATCTAGGTTCAGGGTCCTCAGATGGGACTGTACACCCTCTGTACTAACCAAGTTCTAGTGACAAAATGTAAAGTAACTATGAGGCTCACTGCACAGACCTGGCCTGGGCTCTGTGATGCCAACTGTGTGAACTTCCGGAAGGGGCAGAAACTGGAGACAGATGAGTGGTGACCAGGGATAGCAGGGGGGAGGGTGTTAGAGGAGCAGAGGATTCTTAGGCTGGTGGAGCCACTCTTTTGGGGGGTGGTTGAGACAGGGTCTCGCTGTGTAGTTCAGACCGACCTTGACCTCCCTATGCAGCACAGGCTGGCTTTGTGCCTCAGCCTCCTAAGAGTTGGGATCACAGGTGTGCGCCGTCCTGGTGGCTCACGAGGTCCCAGGCAGCACTCAGGTTGCTGGTGAGGAGGGGTAAGTGGGGGCGCTTTGGCTCCATTTAAAAATTTTTTTGTTTCATAAGTCAGACACATTTAAATACACATTGTTTCTCTGGTATGGAAAACTGAAAGTGGAGATAAGAACTTAAATGTGTAATAGACATTGGGAAATGGGAAGAAAGTGTTCAAATGGTAGGGGAACCTGGGAGGGAAGGAGTCAATCTTTAAGGAGGGCTCCGTTGCCGGGCACGTTGCTGGGCATGAGAGCTGGGACCAGTGGTTCTACAGGAAATGGAGTCGCAAGAAAGTCAGGCTGGAATTTGGGGTCTGGAGAGTGTTGTGGCTTGCGCTCAGGTGTCCCGCAAAGCCTCATGCTTTTAGGTAGCTGACTTTAGAGTGTGAGATTGATTCACGGTGGGGCTGGGCTGGGCTGGGCTCGAGGGCACTGGGATTAGGGTGTGAGTGCTGCCTGCCCTAAGAGGTCTGAATGAGGTAAAAGGGGCAGAGAGCTGCTGTGAAGTCTTTGTTGCTTTTGCTGCTTTGCCCTTCATGAACTGTGTGGCCCCTCTGCCACCCAGCCTCGGAGCCAGCTGATCTGACTATGGACTGAAATCTATGAGCTGTAAGCCATATAAACTCTTTCCCCTCCCTGGGTTGTTGGGTATTTTGTCTCAGCAACAAGAGAAAAGTAACTTAACAGAGACTTAGGGTGCTGAGGGTGTGGCTCAGTGGTAGGGCACCTGCTGCAGGAGGGAGGCCTTGGGATCAACTGCCCAGCACCAAAATGAAAAAAGAGAAAAGTGGAGAATTAGGATGATGTCCCAGAGGAAGACAACACAACTGTGTGAATAAGCGTAGACTTTCGTACACGAATAAATGGGTAAATGTTTTACATGAAAAAAGGATCACCTGATATACATGAAAAAAGACACCCACTGAAAATAAGTCCTATTGTATCTTTGGAGCAAAAATTAACATAATGGTCTTACTTTTGGGGAAATACAGTATTCATGAATGTTCGAAAAGTAGTAGCCACATAATAAAAATTTGAAAAAAATGAATTATAGCCAGTTGAAAAAACAAAGCCGTGCCCAGCACTGAGGAAGACGTCCTGTAACGACCGCCTGTGTCTCCATAGAGCCCACAGCTACCCAGTGAGGACTACTTGTTACCCAGAAAAAAGGGTGGCCGAGTCTAGGAGGCCCTGCATCACAGGGAGTACAGTGGGCATGGTGGCCTCTGGGGGAGACACCACAGTATCAGAAGGGAAGGAAGAAACCTCAGCAGGTGGGCCTCGATCAAAGTGCCTTGCAGGAAGGTAGAGCAGGGCAGATGTGGTACCACACACCTGTAATCCCAGCACTTGGGAGGCTGAGGCAGGTGGATTTCAGTGAGCTTGAGGCCAGCCGGAACTGCACAGCAAGACCTTGTCTCAAAATTTAAAATACACTAACACCAATAATTACATTAGATATTAATAGACTAAACACTAAGAGTGACCATCAGAGTGAATTTGTTTTGTTAATTTTTTTTTTTTTTGTACCAAGAATTGAACTTGGGACTTTGCGCTTGTGAGGTAGGCGGTGGAACCCCTGAGCCACATCCCCAACCCACTGTTTATTAGTTTTTCGAGGCAAGCTTTTGCTGTGTTGCTGAGGATGG